TCATTAAATTTTTAGTTACAATCATGGCTTTAGTTTCTTTTTTGTTATTGTATTAGGTTGGAAAGAAAGTTCTGCAACACTCTTTCCAAAATTTTCTTTTTTTCTGAAAAATTCATAGGTAACATTTATGACTAACAAATGGTAGAGCATTCTCAAGGCTTCAATCCACGAGGTGGATATAAGTGCTGCAGTCAGTAGTTATCCAAGAAAATTCAAAAAATCTCGACCACTAGCAAATCCGTACTCCGAGTCACTGTCTAGTACAAATGTCTCCAAAACTATGGATTCGTGTCAACGACTGACACTATCTGCAATAGCTTCAATAGGCATGCCGTTCACCGCTACAGCGTGTTTCACCTTTACCAGCGCTTTCGATCTTTTGATATTTTTATAAGAAGCCAGCAGCGTCCCTCACACTCCATTACAGGTAGGGCTCTTACGAAGCTCCACTACAAATTCTTCGTTATGGGCACCATTGTGTAGGTAGAGGTCTAGGCTGCGAAACTCCAGAAGCTGGCCGAGGCAGCTCGTCAAGAGCCCTCGTACCGCGACAATATTTATTTCTTTCATGACATTGCGAATCACCATGATCCGAAATGAGCCCGGTAAGAAATTCTGGAGTTGCGGCAAGATTTCTTACCTCTCTTAGCGTATTCCCCTGGTCGAGCTGTAAATGACTGCTACCTATCCTGGACCTTTAATCATCATCTTGATGACGAAATAATTAGACGATCAACTCCAACTCGAAAGTGAGGTCGCCTCCTTTCTCGACCCGCACTCCGCTGGGTTTTGGCAAAGGAGCATCAAGAAATTTTCTGAGCGTTGAAGACAAGTGGTGGACACTCATGGTAGATATAAGACCGGTCAGGAGTTGTAAAAAAGATAAAATTAAAATCAAAAATTTGAAAAAGTGTTGCAGGACTTTCTTTCCAACCTAATAATTAAGGACTCATAACGCAAACCTGGCAAGCCAGGCCTTGTTCAAGCTTCGATCCTCTAACTGGTTTCCTTCAACTCGACTCCAGACAGTTTTCTCCAGAACCTAGGTATATCAATGGAATCCACGTTATCATAGGATTTTCTGGGCAAAGGAATAACGATAAAAATACTACTATTAGTTGCTTTCCTGATTGATGTTGTTGTGGTTATCATAAACCGCACGCTGTCACTTCTTTAGGTCATTGAACGGATATGTAGGTAAGTAAACTTTACTTCATAAACGAGGTTTATATACTGCACTCGATGGTGATATAGCATTATAGTAGACGAACAGTTTCGCCCGAGGAAGAAGGAGTATCGCAATGATCTTCTTGATGAGGCGGCTGTCTTTCAGAAGCATTTAGCAGGTGATTTTTCTTGACTCCTATTTGTATGTGTGCAAAGAGAAACGAGATGCTATTCTTCTTAAGCTTCTGATTACCACTGGGTAAGATCTTTGAGGTTCATTTTTGTAATTTTTCTGGTTTATGGTGCCGCCACTTAACTTTAGATATGTTCCTACTATATATAATGCGCTATGTCTGTCTGTGTGTGTCACGGTGTCTGTCTGTCTGTCACGAAATTCCCTAGCTCCTGGAGATCCCTGGAGAGACCGGGTCAAGTGTGGGATGGGTGTACCATATCTCGAGAAGTACAAAACACACATCAGCTAAGCGGAGCCCCGCCCACAGTGGGCGTGGCGTGCATCGAAATGTACTGATTTCAAATTCAGTCACAAAACAGCCTCGAGACCGGGACAAAAGTGGGCATAGGTGTGGGTTGGTAAGCCAGATCGAACTGAGGAGACCCACCCTCGGTGGGCGGGGCGTTCTCTAAAAAAAGCGGTGCTTAACACGTTGACGACAGCGCAGGTTCTGACATCGGGGCTTTGGCGGGCGCGATTTGCCTGACGCGCAAGCGCGTCAGCTTGTCCCACGAGGTGCGTTTTTCGGAACTCAAAACTGAAAAGTGGCAAAACAAGGGTACAACGCTATTGAGGGGAGAGGGCTTCCGGTGAAGACGCACGCTGCTTGTCTCTACCCTCTCAGCGAAATACTAGTGATGACATCAATGCAGAATAAGGAATCCATGAGTCTGGGGAGTATAGCCAGCTCGGGGATGGGGGAGAGGAGGGTCGGGCGATTCGAATGACATGCGTGGAAAGGTGGAATGTGCATACATATTCATACTTTTCTCGGATAAATGACTTTTAAGAAAGTTGTCGAACCACTGTGAATACTTCTCAAGCCAGTTGCTTCCCACGTGACAGATGTCAGAAGAAGTAAGTAAAGGTTCAAAAGGAATCAATAGCACAAAGTGTTTGGAACATTATGCAACTATGTCTAAAGAGCAAGAATCTCTTTGCGGCCTCAAAAAACAAAATGGGTTAAAACGCGCTGCGAAAGATGTGGAAAATTCTTTGTATAGACTGCTTCAATGAAAAACACAAGTCATCTCATCCATAGAACCGTAATTCCTTGACATTATGTATCACATTGTTGTTTGCATTTATATTTTGTTTTTATGCTTGTTTACCCCAAAATAGTAGTCGAAGATTGAACTAAACGGAAAATTTAGTGAGGTTCAGAAAACCTTCGCTTAACTAAAGCATATTCGACCGCTTCATGGACCACACCGTTTACAGGCATGATGATGTATTGTCTATATAACAGTGATAAAAAATTTCGGAAGAAGTCGGACATGTGAAAAAATGGGTACCAAGATGCTGACGCGCATGCGCGTCAGAATGTCCAATGCGGTGCAAAATGTCTGACGCGCTTGCGCGTCAGCCTGTCGTCAACGTGTTAATGAGAATATTCATAACACGGTCACTAGAAAGCCTACAGAACAGAAATAAATCGGGTGTATGGAAGCACTATCTAAGGTGCTCCCAGCACACATGACGTGCCCGGAGGCCCGCCCACAATGGGCGGGGCGTGGATGAGGTGGGTGGGGGAGTGGAGGTCAACTTTCATCGGTGGGCGGGGCTTGACCAAAGTGGGCGGAGTTTGCGACGAAAATTCATAACTCGGCTCCAAGAAGTCCGGAGGCGGGGAAAAGGTGGACAGAGGTGGGTAGAGGTGGATGACAACTTCTATCGGTGGGCAGCCCTCCATTGTGCTCTCCAATACTAAGGATAAGGATAAGAGTTTCATGACACGTAATCGATTCATTTAAAATTACTTCTGATAAGGACCGGTGTAGTGTGGAAGTACTCCTAAGGTGCTTTCAGATTTCGGCCTGCTGTGGTCCAAGGAAATGGTCCTGAACTAGGGTATGGACATCCTTTCCTAGGCGCAAGGGTGTAGGAGCCCAGGGTGGACGATCACATGCCATAAATTGCCTAGGATGTGAGCAGGATTTGCGTGATGTAAAGGCATACACCGGTCCTATAGAAAGTGCTCTTGGAATGAGTCGTTATCTTGTCCATAGTGTTGGATAGCCCGAAGGAGCGCTCTTTAGTATTACGGATAATATAACAGAGTGCCCCCACCTGAACTAGAGTTTCGCCTCTCTGATTTATCTCGCAACCATCACAACTCCAGTGAAGAAGCCGTTCACCTCTACATATACTTCCGCCCTGATATTACGTCAAAACAACCCCAGTGATTGGAAAAAGCAAAATGCATACGAAACTTTCAGCAGGTTCGCGGAGGGAACCCCAGGTCCACTCCTAACCAGTGGTGAAGCTGGGGTTACTGGAGTAAGGTTTCGTGTGTGAGAATCCAAAAAGCCTCTTCCCATTACAGCGAATCACACCCTCCAAAACTGTGTGATAGATCCCAGTGGGGATATGAAGAACGAGATATTAAACTAAAGAAATATCAAAACTTCCTACAGCACACCCAAAAAAAAGAACTCCCAGTCGCAGAGAATCTCAAGACGATGATGGAAATTAACACGTTGACGACATCGCGCGTTTTGTGCTTTTGCACCGCGTGGGACAAGAGCGATTTTGCGAGCAGCCGCCGCACACCAAATCCATGGATTTTAAGTTGTAAATCCGCAATACTTAGATGCGATGAAATGTTTTCAATGATGTTCGATCTGTCTAGCTTAGGAGTTACAGTAATGGAAGTTTGACCGAAATGACGTGTTAAGGCCATGAAAAGGCAAATTTTACTTAATTTCCCTTTAGTGGTTCCAAAATTAATTTGGACGTGGTTGTTTCAGTAAAAACACATATCTTCCCATACGAATAGGTTTGTATTCACTTCTATTATTCCTTTTTATCAACATGTTACGTTATTGAAAAGAAAACGAGGAATGAACTGAACAGACATATCCGTAAGGTCTGGAAAACGTCTGCCAAACTAAAGAATATTTGGCCTTTCTGTGAGCCATGTGGTTTTTAAGTATGCTAATGTATGACCTATAGAATGAGTACAAAGACCTTAGGAATAAGTCGCACAAGCGCAAGAAAAAGGGATGGTTTGGGTGGGAGGTGCGCGAAGTGGGACGAGTTACCGCGTCACGCTGTCATCAACGTGTCAAAAGTCTACGGTTACAGGAGTAAAAAAAAGCTCAATATTTACTTCGAAACACTTTTTACGCCACTGACGAGGACGCCCTGGCGGCATGAAGGGACTGCCACGAGCTTTCTTATCCAGGTAATAGCTGTCAATTCTGAAAAAAAAATACAAGAGGGCTTTGACAAAATCAAACTTGTCCTCCGTATGAAATTACCGTTCTTCACGCTCAACGATGCGAATACATGACACCAACTCCTGCGGGCCACTACCCGTTTCACTTCCCTTAACCATCTCCAGAGCACGTCCAATAATGAACCACATGTTGCTGCTCAGATCGGCTACTAATTCGTCCACTTTTATGAAGAAAGTCACAAGAAGCTTAAAAACAACAGAATAATCAAGAGGAAGCTTAGAATAGAAACTAAACCCACATTTTTTTCATAGTCTTTGCTTGGAGAGTCAGACTTATGCACTTCAAACAAAAGCTCATCTCTAGCTAGTTCCAGGTCCATAATGCTAAAAAAGATAACAAATTGAAATCGTTGTAAAACTCATGATGGTGAACTCTCACTTTACGTAGCCTCCCCCGGTACAATGCTTAGCACGAAAATTTCACACAAATCGTTCATGAACACGACGTGAACTGACTTTTTATGAGCAACAAGCAGCTTTCCTTGATCTAGAGCCGCTTTTGTATCTTGGATTGTTCGAGTGATATTGAAAATATGTTTCAAGTTTTCCATAGCAGCGGCGTACTGACCTTAATAAAATGACATTGAAAATACAGCTTTCGAAAGGTGGTATTGGGGAAAGGTTTACTTCCGTGTTTTATGTATTAACAAACTTTCCCTCCACAAAACATAGGTTGATGGACTGAACTGGTAACGCGGTTCATTTCTTTCCTGCTTTAAAGTAAAGAGCATCAGTTCGTAAGAACGCGTTCGGCGTTTGATCGAGGGAAGAAAATGTAATTGATAGTTGATATATTCATTACAGAAACATAGACACCAAAATAACAAACCATGACGTGCATTGGCATCCCGTAGTTCACGCATCTTCTCCCGCAACTGAGGGAAAGGGGTGAGGCGGTGACGAATAGCTGCTATGCTAAATGCTGTACATTTACGTTCTGGTTCAATTTATTTTATTATTGCATTATTGTTACAATAGGGATTGTGTTCATCATTTATAATTTTATTATATCATACAGCCCCATGGATCATCATCACGAGGGTGTGTAGCAGGAAGCCACCAGGCGGAGTCGTGTTTCTTGCAGCACAAACTTCGCGATCAACTAATTGTAAGATGTCACGCAGTCTCCTGCAACATGATTTCCACGTGTGCTGCAAGAGTAATACATAGAGGTTTCACGATACGACATTAGGCGTACTATGGGCTACAAAAGTCGCAACGTTGCGCGTTTACTTCTTGTTACACACGCTGACTTCCAGATGGTTATTGGCGAGGAAAAGCGGTGGACCTCAAGCAGCGGAAGAGCCCCAACCTTTTGGACTCCTCCTCCTTCATCGTTACGGTATGACGACGCCATCGTCGGTTCATTACAATCAAATTCACCCAGATACTTTTAAAACCATTCGATAGCGCTAATGATCGAGGAACATGCAACGCGGGATGTGTTGAGTTTCTAACGAGGTTTTTAGACGATTTGAGCAGATGTAATAATATTCAAATGATTCGAACATGTCTTGTCTAGGATTCCAACTTCTTCAAAACCTATTTCTGAGCCTCTTTCTTCATGATTACCAATTAGGATCTTCCACGCGCCAAGCTGAATGGAGGATTAACCAGAAGATAGTTGAGGGCACGCTCTCTCAATCCACAGTTACCTCTACTCAGGGTTCCCTCCTTTTATTTGAAGAAAATCGACACTCCAACCACCCCGTGACTAGCAATCTCGATGCTCTATTCGGCGCCATTGGAAAGGAATCTGAACAAAGTGGGCGCTATTTGTCAGAGCGCTTTTGGTGTTACAAGGAGAGTACTGAGACATCTCGATAAATCGCTAATTAAATATAAAGCGCTTCGTCTGTCGTCTGTCGTCTGTCGTCTGTCTGTGTGTCTGTCACGAAATTCCCTAGCTCCTCGGGATCCGCCTGGAGGGACCGGGTCAAGTGTGGGATGGGTGGGCAAGGTCTCACGAAATACAAAACACACATCAGCTAAGCGGAGCCCCGCCCACAGAGGGCGTGGCGTGCGTCGAAATGAACTGTACCGAAGACCAAGATTTCGATTTCAGTGACAAAACGACCTCGAAACTGGGCCAAAAAGTGGGTAAAGGTGTGCATTGGTAAGTCACATCGAATTAGGGAGACCCACCCCCGGTGGGCGGGGCGTTCTCTAAAAAAGCAGTGTTTTTATGAAAAATTTCATAACTCGGTTGGGAGAAAGCCTACAGAGCAGAAAACAATTTGGTGTAAGGGAGCAATGTCTAAGGTGTTTCCTGCATACATGACGTGGGCGGAGGCCCGCCCAGAATGGGCGGGGCGCGCTCTGAAGTGTACAGCATTTTCTACAAGTCCTCATAATTCGGGCCGGGGAAGTCTTAAAGAGCCGGAAAAAGGTGGATAGAGGTGGTGGAGGAGTGGAGGCCAGCTGTCATCGGTGGGCGGGCTTGACCAAAGTGGGCGGAGTTTGCGACGAAAATTCATAACTCGGCTCCAAGAAGTCCCGGAGGCACGGAAAAAGGTGGGTAGAGGTGGGTGGAGGAGTGGAGCTTAAATACCATTAGTGGGCGGAGCATGTTCAAAGTGGGCGGAGTTATCACGAAAATTCATAACTCGATTCCAAGAAGCCCGGGAGACCGGGAAAAAGGTGCATGGGGGTGGTTGAAGTAGTAGAGCTAGAATATTATTGGTGGGCGGAGCAAGTCCTAGGTGGGCGGAGTTACCCAGGAAAATTCATAACTTGGTTCCAAGAAGTCCTGGAGAACGGGAAAAAAGTGGATATAGGTCAGCAAAGAAAGAGAAGTTAACTGCTACGGTTGGGTGGAGCGTGCGCTAATGTGGGCGGAGTTTGCGCCGAAATTGTAATTCGGCTCCAAGAAGTCCCGGAGGCAGGGAAAAAGGTGGATGGAGGTGGGTGGAGGAGTGGAGCCCAGCTATCACCGGTGAGCGGGGCTTGACCAAAGTGGGCGGAGTTTGCGACGAAAATTCAGAACTCGGCTCCAAGAAGTCCTAGAGATAGGGAAAACGGGGTTAGAGGTTGGCGAGGGAAAAGAGATCAGCTGCTTCCAAGAGGTCCCAGAGACCGGTGAAAAAAGGGGTAGAGGTCGGCGAAAGGAAGGGGGCCAAATGCTATTGGTGGGCGAGCACGCACCGAAGTAGGCGGAGTTTGCCACGAGATTTATTGTCCGGAAGCAGTCCGGAGACCGGAAAAAGAGGATAATGGTTGACGAAGAAAAAGAGGTTGAAAGCCGTCGATGATGGAGCGGATAGAATTTAGCTGAGAATTCAGATATTCGTGGTGTATCAAGCCAAATTTGAAAATTTTCGTCGCACCATCAAAATTCGCCGCAGATCTGTGTTGTGCGCGCAATGCGTGCGGCGCCAAGGCGGTGCAGCGCCGACTGGTTCAAATATATGGAGCTTGTCTTCCACATGCTCTGCCCGAATCAGCGCTAAACTCGACCTGACATCATCTCGTTCCTATTTGTTTCCCATAGTTCCTTCGAATGGCCATCCAGTGTGCTTACCGGTGATGGGGAGTGGATGCAGTGTGCTAACAAATCCACAAGCCGCAGTAGCTTAGCTTGAACGACGATTCAGGGGTCCTGACAGCAAAAGCCCAAATCCATCTGAATTCTATGAGTCGTTGGCGTAATACGAGAGCGAGTTTAAGCGGGAGACTAGCACCAACTAACAGCTGTGTCAATGGTGAAGATAGTCGTCGACAGCTTGATGGCAACTCCTTCAAACTGAAAGGCAAAACAAATTCCGTTTTTTTTTCGATGTCGTCTGACCCTAAATAATATTCCGGAGAAGAAATCGTACTTGAATCACCATGATGTCGAAATCGACATCCAATTTTCTTCGATCAGAACTCTATGGAATTCTACAAGAGAGACATGAATATGTGCCCTCGCATTGCGATATGTTGGTAATAATGGTGATGTATACTATGTTGAATAAATACATCAGAGTTAAAATAAGTAATTAAATCAAAAACACCCAAAGTGTCTCAAAAATTATGGACCGACCTATTGCTTAACAGGATGACGCACGGTTTTTTTCTGATCGCGTGAATGTGACACGATCATGTCACACGGTTCCACAAAGACACCTTTTTTGAGGAACTTTATTTTTCATCTGTCTTGTACAGCAAGTGTCAGATTTTACAGCTTTAGCAATTTCAGCGACGAGCACGTAAAAACGGATTAGAACGGGGTATCCTCTTGTTACGTGACGCGTAACAAGAGGATACCTTCTAGGATCAACTTCTTCTTACTGTATCATGAGGCTAGGATGTTGAAAACAAATTGGGCGCTCATGTCCTTGGGGGGGGGGGGGGTTCAAAACAGATTCAATGTTGGGTGAGAATAGGACTAAACTCAGTAAAGGGGGAGAACGCCAGGGAGAACACACATAGCCTTCATGTTCGCTCAGGATCCCTTCCCTCCCTGAGGCTTACGATTAGTCCTAAACACAGTAACTGGCTCACTCATTCGGATGTCCCCCCTCCAGGACATAAGCGTCACAAACTTATTAACTACAAGATCGTTGTAGCGTGGTTGTTGGATTGCAATCGAACCCACTCACAGACTCAGATTTGGATGAACCAAAAGCAAAACTACATACGCGATGGAGAAGCGACTGCAAGCAATCTTGCAGGACAACAGCGCACATATGCTTAATGAAATTATCATTATACACATTTTTTCTGTATCCGGTCTAATTGCATGCACGCAAAATGCGTTTAATAATCAGATTCATGCATTTTTTTCTCAAAAATGGAGTAAATCGCTAATTAAAACTTCTTTTCGGGAACCACGCTTTTCGCAAAATGTTTAGGCATGGTTTGGTACTTTTATCATACCTATTTCTATAGTATTTGATTGTGAGACCACTCGACTCATTGAATTCCACCCACTTTCCTCTCTTTGGGGAACATGAAGAAATGGACAAGCCGTGCACACAAACTTGCAGAAGGGAATTACACTGATATAACTGGCGAAAAGAATCGGTTTACTCACCGTTTATTAATAGGTTGACGATGAGGACCTTCTTTTCGGACCCACAGCGTTTGCTTTTGATTTGGTCTTTCTTTATCACTTAATTAAAAGCGTACCGATCCATCCTATTTACTATGCGCTTCGTCTGTCTTCTGTCTGTCGTTCTGTATGTCTGTCACGAAATTCCCTAGCTCCTCGGGATCCGCCTGGAGGGACCGGGTCAAGTGTGGGATGGGTGGGCAAGGTCTCACGAAGTACAAAACACACATCAGCTAAGCGGAGCCCCGCCCACAGTGGGCGTGGCGTGCATCGAAATGAACTGTACTGACGACCAAGATTTCAATTTCAGTGACAAAACAACCTCGAAACTGGGCCAAAAAGTGGGTAAAGGTGTGCATTGGTAAGTCACATCGAATTAGGGAGACCCACCCCGGTGGGCGGGGCGTTCTCCAAAAAAGCAGTGCTTTATGAAAAATTTCATAACTCGGTTGGGAGAAAGCCTACAGAGCAGAAAACAAATTGGTGTAGGGGAGCAATGTCTAAGGTGTTCCCAGCATACATGACGTGGGCGGAGGCCGCCCACAATGGGCGGAGCGCGCTCTGAAGTGTACAGCGTTTTCTACAAGTCCTCATAATTCGGGCCGGGGAAGTCTTAGTGAGCCGGAAAAAGGTGGATAGAGGTGGGTGGAGGAGTGGAGGCCAACTGTCATCGGTGGGCGGGGCATGACCAAAGTGGGCGGAGTTTGCGACGAAAATTCATAACTCGGTTCCAAGTCCCGGAGGCCGGAAAAAGGTGGATAGAGGTGGGTGGAGTGGAGGCCAGCTGTCATCGGTGGGCGGGGCTTGACCAAAGTGGGCGGAGTTTGCGACGAAAATTCATAACTCGGCTCCAAGAAGTCCCGGAGACCGGGAAAAGTGGATAGAGGTGGGTGAAGGAGTGGAGCCCAACTGCTTTTAGTGTTGCGGTATGCACTTGCACCCGCAACGTCCTTCTTGTTTTGGTCACCGCCTGTCAGTGGGAGTGGCTTTCCCCTCGCTCGGACCGGCAGTTAAGGTTTTACCGACAGCTGGAGCGCCGTCCACGAGGGCCGATCCCGCTGACAAGCGAGCGCCGATCGGTCTGTACCCTTATTTCACTTAATCCGTTGTATCCGATTGATCAAATAAATATATAAATCAACTGGTTTGTTGAAAGAAAATAGAAAGGGCCGCGACATTTGGTGAGCGGGGCATTTCCAGGTGGGCGGAGTTCTCCACAAAACTTTGTGACTCGGCTGCAAGAAGTCCTGGAGACCGGGAGAGAAGTGGGCGAAGGAAAGGAAGTGAATTTCTAATGGTGTGCGGAGGATACACCAAAAGAGCAGGATTCGCC